AGAAGACTGGGCAGAAGACGGACAGGGCAAAGTAGACCCCGACCTCCTGGAACAGCGAGTTGGAACAACAGGCAGCTCGGAGTATTCGCTCCACGACGTTCTTGAGCCGTGCACCATCTTCAAACATGCCGACTGGGTATTGCGGCGCATACAGGCGGCCCGGATTAGTAGGTCGACCTTGCCAGCTCAAGGGTACCCTCGTGTCCTGTGCCTTGCGACCCATGCTTCTGACATTCCTGTGGCAATGTGGCCTCGAAAGGGTCTTGTGTCCTCTCGCTTGTCCTGTCCAACCAAGTCCGACTGTACCGGCTATCGCAATGCCGGCCGGACTCGCCCTCGAACCGCACAGAGCGCGAGCGCCGCCAAGCGTCGCCAGCCAGAGGTGTCACTTCCCTTCTGCGTCGGGGGGCGGGACCTGCGCACGAGAGCGCCCGCCTGGCCGTGCTGGCGCCTCGCGAGGGCCCGCTCGTGCGGGGCGCCCTTGGCCGACCGACCCCCTCCCTCCCTCCCCCCCTCCCCCCTCCCTCCCTCCCTCCTCTCCCCTGCTCCTCCTCCTCCTCCTCCTCCCTTTTCCCCCCCTCCTCCTCCTCCTCCTCCTCCTCCTCCTCCTCCTCCTCCTCCTCCTCCTCCTCCTCCTCCAGGGAAGTTCGTACGCGGGTTGTGTTTGGCAGCTCCGTTGTCCGTGGGTTTCACCCAGAGCCCCAGTGGCAGCGCCCACAAGGCGGCACCGCCCCATGTCGGCACACCCTTCGCCTGTTTCATGGCCCTATGTGGAGATCCCCCGACGGCGATACCCGCAACGACGGCAATCACAACTGCAGATGGCTGGGTCCTTCGCCCGGATGTTTTTGCTCTGTTTCCCACGGTGTCTAGGGTGATGCTTCGACCCCAGTCGTTTTTTCAGGATCTAAGTTTTTTGGGGGCCCTTCGTGGCCGTCGACTGGGCGCCTGCGCCCTTGGCGGGCACAGCGAAGGCCAGGGCCCAGCATTCGGGAGGTGGGAGGTGGCGAGCAACTTTGTCTCCGCCTTCTGGCCGTTCAGCGCGAGTCCCTGGGCTTTCTTGCCGCCATGGAGTGGTCAGAGGGGGGCCGGAGGTCGGGGGCGGCAAAGAGGGGGGTGATGACTAAGGGGGGTGGATCTCATGGCGGGGGCGATCATATCTCCCCAGATTTTCTGGCGCCTCTTCTTTTTTCATTACGTCCCTGGCTCCCCCCCCCCTTCGCCGCGCACATGCCGCCGGCCATGATTTGCGCCCCCCCCTCTTGGACGCCCCCCTCCATGACCGCCCCCAACATGTGTCGATATGGAAAGGCGAACGATCAACATACACACACACACACCCATACCCATACGGGGGTCGGGGGGACGGAGGGCTGGCTATGCGTATCGGTGCGGGTTGTTGTACCCCGGGAGAAGCTTACGTTCGAGAGGGGACCCCCCCGTCCGTCCCCTCTAGGTATGGGTATGGGTGTGTGTTGTTTTTTCGTCGCGAAACTGGCGGTATTTCCTTGTCCTGGTGGGGCGACCTCCAGTGCCATTCGCATTGGCGAGCCCTGAGTGGGGGCGCCGCGCCATGCAACAAAAATAACTGCTTTTGCTTGAGCCAAACAAAGCGGCCAACGGGCGCCTGCCTGCGAACCACTCCGAGCGAGACGAGCCAGGCCCAGCCAGCAACGAGCGATCGAGACGTGCCGAGCCCCGCGACCCAGCAGAGGTTCTCTTCACGAGCGCGCAGTCCCCTTCGGAAGGACGCCTTCCTAGGATGCAGCCCTGCGGAGGTGAAACTCCGCATCGGCGCTGGCTTTTTGCCGCGGTCGATGACCAGCTTAATCTGGGCTAGTGCGGCTTAGTCTGGCTTAATCCCGCTAAATTATAGGCTTAGTTCGGCTTGATCCCAGGCTTAACCCGGCCAGGTGGCCTTTCAATTTGGTTTAATCGCCGTTAGTCGTTCCAACGAAGACCTCCCAGGAGTTGCCTCCTCAACCTTCCTCCTGCCCCACCCACCTCCCGCCCAGGACGCCAGCGGCGGCACCATCAGCGCTGTCCCGGCGCTGCCGCCCCTGGTGCCCCCCCCGCCTTTCCAGCTCAGGGGCCTCGGCGGCGGCGGGGACGGCGGCAGCGACGGCGGCGAGGACGAGGACAACAGCCGAGTCAGGTCGGAGCTCAGGGGACGGGGGTCAACGCAAACGGGGGTCAACCAGGGCGCCGGATCTTGCAGGATCCTGGAGAGCCAGGGCTGCATTGACCCGGGCTTGCGCGCAGGATCCTGCAGCGTCCTGCAGGATCCTGCAAAGTTTGATTGGCCCGGTTTTGCATTGACCCGGGTCAGTGCGTCCCCGGGCAGAGAAATTGCATAAACAGACGGCCCGCGCGGATTTCTCGGATCTGCGTTGTGCCCCCTTGGCGGCGCCTCCGGGGCTGCATCCAGCGCGCTTCGCGCGCCAGGGAAGGGGTTCCAGAGCTGATCCCAGAAATCCGCTCGGAGCTCCAAAAGTTCATGTCAATCTTCGTTTCGATCGATCCGATCCGATAACGTTTTCCATCAGCCCGATCCGGTCCGCTCTCGGCATTCCGACGATATGCGGTCCGGTGCTTGCATGGCGCTGTTGTGCATCCTGGCGCGGCCGATCCGATTTGATTCCGATGTTGTGCCGATGCACATCCAGATCCGAGGCGATTGTCCGATTCGATGCTGGCCGCTCGTGGGACAATGGCGACGACCAGCAAGCCAGGATGCATGACCACGCTCGGCCGGCGGCGGTGCGGCGGTGGCGCGTCAGAACCTAAGAGGCCAAGCAGTATCGTCTATTGTTCGTTGTGACGGGTTCCAGTGGGCCTCGCAATCACCGTCTGGTGTTGATGACGACGGCGATGATGACGACAGCGACAACGACGAAGACGAAGACAAATGACGACGACGACGACGACGACGACGAGGGCGACGACGGCAACCGCGCTGACGACGACCACGACCACGACGAGGATGGCGACAAAGGGGACGACGGATACGGGGAGGTCGCGACGATGACGTCACAACGCTGCAGCAGACGCAGACGCGTTCGGTCCCTCCTCCTCGAACTCTGCGCGATCGTTGATTTGCTTGCCCGTTGAATCTGCGATCCTGCTGCCGCTGCTCTCCCCCCCATCCCTCTCCCCCCATCCCTCTCCCGCCTCCGTCCTGTCCCCCTCATCATCTCCATTTCCATCACCTCTGTCCCCGATCCTTCCTGAGTTTAACATACATATTTTGAGATTCCTTAGGAGGACGGGGAGGGAGGCAGCAGAGAAGTAGGAGGAGGAGGAGGAGGAGGAGGAGGAGGAGGAGGAGGAGTAAGTGGCGAAAGAGGAGATGAGGGTGGGCAGGAGGTGGCGGCCGAGGAGGACGAGGAGCAACACGAGAAGGAGGAGTGCCACTACGGCGAGCAAGGAGGAGGGGGAGCAGGATGACGAGTAATCGATGGAGGGAGCGGGGCGCGTGAGTGGCAGGGGGCGGCGGAGGAAGGCTCAGTGGTTCCCGAGAGCCCAACACCCGCGCCAAGGAAGGAAGCCAGAGCGCGGAGGGGGCGGTTCAGGGTGAGTTTGAGATAGCGATGATCATGCCTCAGCGTGCTGCGTGGCGGTCGCGACACAGCACGCCACCTGGATCTCACGCAGGATTCTGGGCTGCGGCGGCGGCAGCATCGCTGGCAAACAGCCGGAGGTCTGCCCTGCGTGCCCGCCTCTAGGTTGTCATCGGTTGCGCCACGTGTGTGTTCGGGAAGGCGGGGGAGGATGCGGACGACGGCACGAGAAGAGGGACGATCAGAATAATAAGACAGCAGGGAAGGAGGACGACGGAGACGGATGGAGGAACGGGCAGGCGTAGGAGGGAACCTAGTGACGATGCCAGTGACAGGCGGTGCTCTTCTCCGCTCACAGCAGGATGCCGTGCGCCACATAGAGGCGCTTCACGGTTGTTTCAATCTTCTCGGCCGCAGACGGCATATCCAGAAGTTGCAGGTGTGACGACAAGTTGCACACCCAAGCGCTGCGAGCATTCCATAATTGCCGAAGGAGGGGGCAGTCGATGGGTTCGAAGCTGGTGCACCCCGTGTACCCTGCGGGCGGGACTTCGCCGTGTAAAATAATGGGAAAGAGCCCCCACAATCACCAACTTTCCAGCATTGTCGCAGGAGGATGATTTTGATGGGCTCGGAGCAACGTGCACCCCGTATGCCGTGTGGACCTGAAGTCGAAGCTGACGCTCGGGACGGAAACAATACCCACGCCTCACCCGAATGTCTCCGCCATATTTTGAGCCAACGTAAGATGTGAGACGAGAGGCAGACATGATTGTCACAGTCCCCAGGGTGCCGCAAGCACGCCGCGTGCGAGCCGGGGCACGACCGCAGAGCGAGCCTAAAACCAAAAGGCAGCTATCATCACGCTTTTGGCCGCTTGTGCTTGAGGTGCGGAAGAAAAAAGGAGAGAGGATAAATACGTACGCCCAGACGGAGGCAAGAGCCATCAGGCATGATGCAGGAAACAGGTGGAGAAGGAACGCCAGGGCAGGAGCTGCCTGTGCTCAGGTCCGAAGGAAGGTGCCTGCTGTGCTCCCGATGATGCCGATGGCGTCGCTGCAGCAGCATCGTCGGAATCTCCCTCGCCCCTCTCCCCCAAGAGGGCCCGAAGCGAGCTTCCTGGCACTCCTCCTCTGGGAGGAGGAGGAGGAGGAGGAGGAGGAGGAGGAGGAGGAGGAGGAGGAGGAGGGCGCTGGCTGCCCGCTGCCCGCCGGGGTCGCCGTCGCCTCCGCCGTCGTCTCCACCGCGGCTGCCGCCATCACCGCCGCCCCCGCCGGCGGCGCTGACGGCGGCGGCAGCGACGGCAGCGCCAGCGATGGTGAGCGGCGGCGGCGCCAGCGACGGAGGCGGCGAGCGGCGAGCGGCGGCGAGCGGCGGCGGCGGAGTGGTCGCCCCCGGCCCCGGGGAGCGCCGCCCGCCTTTGCGCGCGCCGCGCGCCCAGACGGCCCGCAAGCCCGCCGCGGCGGAGGTGCGCCCGCGCCGCGGCCTGCGGCCATCGACGCCGCCGTCGGCCGCCGCCGCCGCCCGCTGCGCCGCTGGCCGACGCCGCTCTCGCTGCGCCGCCCTCTCTGCGCCGCCGTCGTCGGCGCCGTTTTCAGACGGGGCGAGGACGAGAGTGGCGCAGAATCATGTTTATGAGGAAGTGGAGGAGGAGGAGGAGGAATCAGTTCCAGAGCCTTCAGAAGGCCGCGGCGCCCGATGCATCCCCCAGAGCTGCCGAATGTCTCAGAGATTCTCGCTTGGTCCTCGCCCGATTTTACCCCCGTCCTGGCTTCGTCTCACATCTTCGTCGCCGCCGCCGGCGTCGGCGCCGCAGGGCGCCGTCGCCCTCGCCGTCGATGTCCTCGTCGTCGCCATGGGCGCTGGGCGCTGGGCTCCACCGCCGTGGGCGGGGCGGCGCGGCACGACGGGGGGTCTCGGCGGCGGGGCGGCCGCCGCGCCGCGCCGCCTGTGCTGCTCCGCGCCCTTCGCCTCGTCCTGCCCCTCTCGTCGGGAACAAAGTGGGGAGAGGGGGGAGCAGGAGGAAGAGGAGGAGGAGGAGGAGGAGCAGGAGGAGGAGGAGGCGGAGGAGGAGGAGGCGGCGGGAGAGGAGGGCTCAGGAGGAGGAGGAGGAGGATGAGGAGGAGGAGGAGGACGGAGGAGGGCGGAGGGCGGAGGAGGGAGGGGGGAGGGAGGAAGTTTGAGGGACGTCGAGGGCGGCGAGAACGAGTACGCCAAGGCCGCTGCGGCGACCACGAAGGCCACGACGGCGGCGGTCGCGGCGGCGGCGAAGACCAGCAGCGGCCGCGGCGACACCGCCCCGCCACCCGTCCCGCCGCACCCCGATCGGGCCAGGCGCAGCCGCAGGGCGGCGTCGCAGCGCCTGCGCCCGGCCAGGCCGCCAGTCGATGCCGCCGTCGCCGCCGCCGTCCTGGCCACCGCCGACGCCGTCGCTGTCGCCGTCCTCAGCGTTGCGCCTTCCTCGTCGTCGACGCTGTTGGTCGTCGCGGTCGTCGTCGCGGTGCTAGGCGCAGCTCTTCGTCATTGCCGCCATGGTCGTCGCGGTCGTCGTCATCGTGTTCGCCCTGGTCCTCCTCGTCACTGAGGGTGGAGGGCGGTTCGGGGCGGATGAGCGGCTGAAGGAGGACGGGAGCAGGAGCAAGCAGAGGGTGCGAAACATTCGGTCAACCGCATCGATGTAATTACAGATGGCCGCGACGTCCCTAGATGTGCCCAGTCTAACAGCCCTGGCCAGCAGCCCCCCTGGGGAATGGTGGCTGCTTTAGACAGCGTGTCACTCCAGCGGGGGGCACCTTTCGGGCCGACCGGAGCGCAGAGTGAAACGTGGGTGGTTTAACGGATGCTGTTTTTTTGTTGCCGTTGTCGTTCGTGCCCCCCCCCGCGCGTAGACTTCGTTGGTCATTCCGCTACCTATCGTATTCCGCGGAAGCGGTAAGCTCAGCTATACATTTATATGTTTCATATATGCTCTGACTCCACGATGTTCCCATGGGCCCTAGTGGCGCCGCCTTTGCCGGCCTAGAACTGTGCGCAGTGTCCGCCCTGCCGTCCGTTCCAGACTCAGCTCGCTATGTCTCCTGTCACATGACCATGCCCCGGTCCTCCCGGATGCTGTCGGTTCCAATGGTACTCCAATTGTTTTGTTTGGATGGTGTGGTTGTTACGTCTGTTCGTGTTGATGTGTTTTGGTCTGGATGGTCTGGCTGGTCTGGTTGGTCTGATTGGTCTTTTGCTTTGGCTGGTCTGGTTGGCCAGGTTGGTCTGGTTGGTCAGATTTTCTGGTTGATCTGGCGGGTCTGGCTCGTCTGCCGGGTTTTAATTCAGTGGTATCCGAGGCTTCCAATGAAGATGCCTGCGGTGCTCCCCGTCGCACTTACAAAGGCGCGACGGCGTCGCCGCCAACGCTTTCCTTGCATGCAGTGCCAGCACCGCCATGGGCACTAGCGGTTCCGCAAGCACAGGGAGGCGACCCGTTGCAGGCGCATTTGCCGCGGTTGGCATTTGCCCGGGCGCGGGTAACATCAACGACGTAGGCAATTGTTTTCTTCTGACGTCTCATTAGCAGATAAGCGTTGGCTGCCATATCATATGCGATATCCCTGCAATGTTCGGTTTGGGACACGCAATGGTTCTCGCTTTGCGGGCGGAGCATGTCTTTCACCTCTAGGATCTGCGTGCTGCCGGTGCATGACACCTTGTTTGAGAGGCGGCTCCCGAGCAAACATCCCACTCTCCTGCAAGGTGTCGGCAAAATCCTTAAGGCGCAGTGACGTGAGGACCCGTCTCATGTACGACGGCGTGTGCGACGGCGATGATATGATGGTTACGACGGCGTGTGCGACGGCGATGATGATGATAGTGGTTTAGTTGATGTCGCGGGCGACGACAGTGACGATGTGTTGAAGACGACGGCAATGATTATGATGATGTTGATGATGACGATGATGGTGATGACGATAAGGTTAGGATGATGCTAGTAATACTGAGGATCTTGATGTTGTTGGTGATGCTGATAATGATGGTTATGGTGATGGCAGCCACCTGGGTGATGAGCATGACGACGATGGTGATGCAGACGGTGGTGGCGACGATGATGTTGATGGTGATGATGATGCTGATGAGATAATGATAACGATGACGGTGGTAGTTGTTCAGGGCGCTGGGCACGATGGACATGGCGAGTGTGCAGATGATGAGGCAGAGCGCGCGCAGAACATCTGGCGTCTTCACCATTGAAAAGACTTGGTCACCATGCGTGTTCGACATGTTCCATATTGAAGCGGTGGGAGACCAATGATTTTGTTGAATGGTCTCGACATGAGCACGCGGCATTGCGCGCGTGTTGCCCGCATGGTGATATTTGACAGAACTGGCGTTTGCCCGACGATTGTCTGATGCTCTTCGACAAGCTCGCCCATGTGGCCCGCATGTTCCTGTTCGACAACATGCCTGTTTTCAAACAACGCAGAGTCTTTTCGCGAATGCGCGTGCCGAATTCATTCGAATAGTGTTCAAAATCGGCAGTGCTTGATCCGATATGTTCACCTTGCTAAGGGTTTTTATATGTACAGCGCAACTGTTACATTCATTCATCTAGCGCATATGGCTTGAATAACCAACTATGTAGGATGAGCTTTGACATGTGCGCGCGCGGATGTGGCCCGCATGGTGGAGTGTGATACGGGTTGTTACACTCATTAGATCAAGGCATGTGGGGAGTTGGCGCTTTTGATCGGGATCTGGGGGGGCTCGAAACCGGTCGCCTGCGCAGGGTATTGTTCGGTATTTGATGTGGACGGCCGCGCAATACACACAATTGTATACACATGCGTCTTTATGTGTACCTGTATACACATGGATGCATGACACGTGGACGAGCAACAATTGTTTGCCTGTAGCTTCTTGGGGGGGTCGAGCTCGCTCTTTCTGAGACAAGGTGCCAGTCGATGCGGCGTGCGTTATGTGACACCACCCGCAGCGCGAGCGCCCGCCAGGGCGAGCCCGTGCTGGCCACGGCCGTCGACGTCCCGATCGACTCGAGCGCGGTGGGCACCCGCGCTGGGGCGGCGGCGGCCGCGGCGGCGGCTCCAGAGGCGGCGAAGGCTCAGTCTCACGCAGTGGCGAAGCGTCCTGGCTTGCCTAAAGGCCTACCAAAGACTGTTCTAAGGAACGATGGTGGACTGCACGAAATGTTCTTACAACAGTTCTGGCTGGAGCTGTCTCGTTTTGACACATCAGGTTTATGTTCTACGAACATTGCTTTTATTATAAGAACATTGTTGTGTTCTGAGACCACTTCGTGGTAGGACTATGCGAATGCCGGGACGGTCTGTCCCTGCTTAACAGACGAGGGGACGGCACCGATGCCGCCACCTCTTCCATCGACGGCGAGCGAGGGGGGAAGTGAGAAGGAGAAGGCCTCCTCAGGAGGCGGCGGGGCTTCTCAGAAAGGCTCCAGTCTTCCGAGAAGTGCTCTGCGTCTTCGGGGACGGTGCAGGAAACTGTTCGGAATCGACCACGCGCAAAGGGGGTTCGGGGGAGGGTGGGAGGCCTCTCAGAAAGACCCCCCTTCTCAGAAGGCGCGGGCGCCCCCTCTCTAAGAAGCTAGTGGCTGTTCCTTAGAATATGTTCCTGGCGTGTCTCTAGGCAGCAGGTGGCTTGCTTCTAAGAAGCTGCTTAGAAGCTGCGGGGGTGGTTCTAAGAAGCGGCGCGACCCTCGTGTCTTAGAAGTTTGGCTAGCGCCTTCTAAGAGAACGGCGCCATCTAAGAAGCGTTCCCCCCTCCCTTGACTCCGTTCCGCGCGCCGCCAACAGAAGGCTGGGGGACTTCTGAGCCTTCTGAAAAGGCCCGCCACTTCGCATGTCCCCCCTCGCTCGCCGACCAGAGGAGGCGACGGCACCGATGCCGCCACCCCTTCCCGTTATCAGAGAGACAGATATTGATACCGCTGCTCTTCCTGGATACCCCTCGCCACCACGGCTAGATTCGCCTCGGAATTCTGGTCCGAACGCACCCCCGGGAGAGGTCCTCAGAGGGCTCAGAAGAGGAGAAGGTACAAACACCGCTGCCCGTGGACGTGTTTTCTTCGGGATGGTGGCCAGCAGCTGCGCCTCGTCGGAAGCTCTTTTCAGGTATCCGAATCGTCGAGGAAGGGAGGGGAGGAGGAGGAGGAGGAGGATGACTAGGAGGGGGAAGAGGAGGAGGAGGAGGAGGAGGGGGAAAAGGAAGACGAAGAGGTGGAGGAGCAGGAGGAGGAGGAAAAGGAAGAGGAAGAGGAGGAGGAGGAGGAGGAAAAGGAAGGGAGGAGGAGGAGGAGGCGAGGGGACGGGATGGGGAGGGGAAGGGAGATTGGGAGGGAGGGAAGGTATGACCCGAAGCCGCTATCGTTGCCTCGTCTCCGTGAGCTGTGCCGCCTGCGGGGCCCTTGTCGCCACGGCCAGATTCGCCTCGGAATTCTGGTCAGACAGCGCCCCTGGGGGGTCTGGGGAGCATCGAGGGCGGCCAAGAGGGGGGTGATGAGTAGGGGAGTGGAGATCATGGCGGGGGCCATGAGATCTCCCCAGATGTCGTGGCGCCTCCTCCTGTTTCTGATGCTCAGTAGATCTACCAAGGGTTTCTCTACTGTTAAAATTCTGCGAGTTGGGACTTGTTGTTGTATTAGCGTTTGCAGGCCCCGACAAGAAAACCCAGCACGCTAAACAAAACAGGATCTACTGTTGTGCGTTTTGAGCTACGTTTGTTTTCAGCATTTTCAGACCAGTTGGTTGCGTTATTTAACATTGCCGTGACCACCAGTGCTGGCGGGCTCGATGGTCGATTGCCCCTCCTGGGGCCATCGGGCCTCCCAGCATGTTTCGGGCTGGTGTTAGACCGGTGCTAGAGTTTTTGTTAGCGCTGTTGGCTCTGAGCGGGAGGACGGCGGCAGAAACGAAACAACGGGAACGAAGACAGCAGGGAAGGCAAGGAACAGCCTTCGACCTTCGACCAGAAAGCGAAACAAAGATAAACAAATGATGATGCACAGCGACGGGCCTAACATAAGCGTTAAGCAACTGAGTTAAACATGCTAAAACATCGACGCGGTTCTTTACCTTTTTTCTAGCTTGCCAAGAGCCCAAAGTGCAAAACGGTGACAACAACGGCCAGGACGCTTTTCAGAAAAACCAATCGTTTCGATACGTCCTCGGCCCTCCCCCCATACGCCGCGCACATGCCGCCGGCCATGATGTGCGCCACCCCCCACGCAGCTGCCCTTACCTCTTGGGAAATGCCGAGGTGCGCTTCGGTTTCCCGCTCAAGTGTCGCACACGCCCAGACTCCCAGTGGCCCACCGTCCTGTTGGTCGGCGGCGAGCCCACGGGGGGGAAGTGAGAGGGGACAGGCCTTCTCAGATGGCCGCGGGGCTTCTGAGAAGCCCCTCCCGCCATCTGGGAAGCCGCTCCTGTCTCCGGAGGAGGCTCAGGAAGCCTCTCAGTAGGCCCGGGGGCTTCCGAGACGCCTCGCCGCCTCCTCGGAGAGTCACCAAGCGCGTTCCCCTACTCGCAAAGTGCCCACTCGCAAACGTCCGAAGAACACACGTGTCTGCTTCGATGCCAGTTGTCGTAGGTTTTCCGCGGGGGATCCAGGCCATTTTGCGAGCAGTGGAACGCGCTCGTCCAGAGAGGGCCTTCTGGCCTTGCCGCCGGCACGGGCTCGCGGTGCGGGCTCCCTGGCTGCGCCCCACTGGATGCAGGGCGGCCTCGGCGCGGCTGCCTTGCGCGGAGCGCGCCCGTGGGATCGCGCCTCCACGGGATCGCGTCTCGGCGTCCAGGCCCCGAGGGCAGGGATGATTACTGCAGTCAACCCGCATAGGAAGGATGGGCAACCTACCCAAGGGTACCCTCGCATCCTTGCCCCTTCGGTAGGGGAACGAACAATGACATAAACATAAAAACTCGGATGTCCGCGCGGATTTCTCGGATCGGCGCTGGACCCCCTCCCTGGCGCGCGAAGCGCGCCAGGGGCGGCGCCGGAGGCCCCGCCGGGGGGCCCAGCGCGGATCCGAGAAATCCGCGCGGACCTCCGAGTTTTTATGTTTATGTCATTATTTGCTCCCCTAAGGATGGGTAACCTACCCAAGGGTACCCTTGCATCGTTGCCTCTTCGGCCCATCGTTCGCCGCTTTCGCTGGCCGCGCCTCGCTCGAAAAGCTTCGAGACGGGCGTTCAAGGCCCTTGCACCCTTATCGCGCATCCTTACTATTATTGGTTGACTGTACCATGGATGTGGTCGTCGCCCGTGAGTCGCACCTTGTCCACAGGTGGTGCTTCCAAGCTGATCCGCCCAGCCTGAGCTAGGCGTGCGCTGGAGCGTGCGTCCTCCTTGCACGCGCACGGCTGATGTTTTGTGCCAGCAAGCGGACCGTTTTGTTTGCGTATTGGAGCAGTGTTTCCGTATTCTATCGCATGGACGTTTATTTGCAGTGAGGTTGGTTCGGCCAAGTCCAGGAAGGGACGAACCGTCTAGCTTTATTAAGTCGTATCATCGTGCTGTATCGTGTGGCTCGAGTGGCTGAGCTCGATCGGGGGTCGGCTCTTCTACTCCTTCTGTGCAATCGGGGACGCCGCGCCGCCCTCCAGCTGTTGCGGTGGTGGTGGTGGTGGTGGTGGTGGTGGTGGTGGTGGTGGTGGTACGTGCCGACAGTTCAGGCGCTCTCGCGGGGATCCCTGCACACCTGCATCCCTTACGTTACAATTTCGGGGGACCTTGCCTGTTCTGTAAGTGATGGTTTTGTCTTGTGTCCGACATGAGTTCGACACCGATTCGATGTGGATTCGCCGTGGGTTCGACGCGGACTCGGCGAGGATTCGACGCGGATTCCACGCGTACGACATAGATTCGACGCGGGTTTGACGCGGACAGCGTCTCGATGAGATAGACCAGGACACATCCCAAGGAGACGCAACCAAAGCTGCAACGACACATCCCACGGATCGGGTATCCTGCACGCCAAGGGCGATGGCAGTCCGCAGAGTTCCAGATTTTTTTCGCATATTTACTTGTTTGTGACAACAGCAGGGCGACTCAAGATCCGTGCCACTTGTGAACCGCCCAAATACCAACGACGGCTTCCGCAAGCCTTGATTCGAGCGGGCGGCGCGAGAGATTGTTCGTTCTCCTCTTGCCCGTAACGGTCGTTCCCCGCCCCCCCCCACCCACCCCCGCGTAACGGCAACGCTCGTACGCATGGGAGGGGCCTGGACCCCCCCCACACGCGCTTGGCATCGCTCGGACGTGTGCATTTTTGATCGGCAAGGGCCATCGAGGAGCATTTGTTGTTCACATTGCGAAAAAATCCACGCACGAAACCGAACAAGTGCACAGGGAATGGACGTCCGAGCGATGGCGAGTGCTGGCGTTCCTGCGCGTGCTGCGGCCCCGCACGGAGGTCGCAGAGCACCCCCGCCCCGACATGCCCCACCCCGCCAAGGCGTGCCTGCGGCCCGGGGCCCCCCCCCCGGGCAGCCCGGGTCACCCGCGGGGGCGCGCCTCGCGCACCGCGGCCCGGTTCGGACAGCTGCCCTTCCCCAACAGGGCTCGGGGGCAAAAAAGAGGGGGGTGATGACTAGGGGGGGGTGGATATCATGGCCGGGGCCATGATATTTCCCCAGATTTCGGGGCGCCTTTTCTGATTTCATTGCGTTCCCGGCCCCCCCGCTGGGCCGCGCACATGCCGCCGGCCATGATTTGCACCCCCCCCCTCTTGGACACCCCCCTCTTGGCCGCTCCCGAAGGGCGGCGCGAGGGCGCGACGATCACCGGGCATCACGCATCGCGGGGCGCGGCGCGAAGTCAGATGATCTCGGTAACGACGGCTGCCTGAGATGAGAGCACGTGGGAGAAGAGCGGTGCCGCGGGGGCCAGGCGAGCTGCCTTCGGGCCCGTTCGCTTACGTGCGATCACGCCGGCTCGCTCATTGGAAGGCCGCGCGTTTGCGCCAGCCTTTGCGGACCCTTGCTTGGAGGCACCATGCTGCTTGCAGTCGGGACGCGAAACAAGGATCACTTTGGGCTCAGGACGTCAGTATCGTCAATCGATCCCCATAACACTGGGCCATGGTATCTCAGGCCCACCATCCCGCCCCCCCCCAGTTGGGGATAGAAACGCGAAATCCGAAAGGAACACCAGATCTCCGTCTAGGAGGGCATATCGGCCATTGGGGCAGAGGCCAAACCAGTGGGGATAGGGATCGGTCAAACGATGCTCAGGACCAGCTCTGGACTCTGGTCCTCGGGCGGGTCTTCAGGTGCAGGCTCGAGGACCGGCGAGCCTCGGCCAGAAGAGCCTTCCCGTGCCCTACTCGGCGTCCCGCGCGGTAGCACGGTGATTGCACGAGTCTTGCCTCCCGACTCCAGAGCTCTCCGCGCAGCGCTGCTCGTCGGCGCACCGCGGAGCCTGCGGGACGAAGAGGCGGCGAGCGCCGGAGTCCTGGCCGAAGGGTGCGGCGGGTGGACCTGGGCTGTCCGTGGACGGCGCCTCCCTCGAGGCGGCCATCGCCCACGAGCCTTCGGTGCCTCGATACGCCCGTTTGGAAACGCAACACGTCCCGTGTTCAAGACCTCCGTGTCAATACGTTGCGTGTTGGCTCCACGTATTGGACTTCGTTTTGGCGATTGTATCGCGTCGGACCTACGCTTCCAGTCTACGTGTTGAGCTCCGTATCAATACGATACGTGTTGCGTGTTGCGTATCGGGGCAGCTAAGCCACGAGCACGCAGCAAGTGTCACAGCGCCACCTGGCGGGAGTCAGGCAACTCAATGGGCGGCGGGGGTAGGGTTCGGAAATCTTCGAAGCCGTGGCGGAATCCGAACCCCACCCCCGCCTCCCGTCGAGTCAGGCGAATCAATGGTTGGTGGTTGGTGGGGGACGTGTTCGGGTGCTCGGATGGCGCCGCCTCAACCTGTGAGGACTTCGACATGCGCGCACGGGGACGCGCGCATTGAGCCCTTCAAGCCACTGTGGGCTTCCTCCGCGCGCGTGCGCTGAGCCTCGCATCGCCTCCAGTGCCTCTCGTCGTCACCACCGCCGCCTCCGCCGATGTCGTCGTCGAGCTGGTAGTGGCCGTCGCCGTCGTCATCTCGGGGGCAACGTTACGGGGGGAAGGGCTACCCGCCAGTTCCAGTCCGGATTCCAGCCTCGGCATGCCTTCCAGCGGCTGCGCCTCGCCGAGAGCGTTCCGGGGGTGCCCGCATCGTCCCGAACGGCCGCCGGAGAGCCGAGGAATTATGATCCTAAAACCTATGGGTAGCGCTAGAGGGGGATCTGCTCAGGGGGGGTGCATGGATCCCCAGTCGCTCATTCATCGCCGAAAGGGGTGCGACAGCCCACCCCGCCTGGGGAGGTGCGAAGTTGCAATCGGGGGCCTAGCGCCGATCCGTCGACGATGTATCGCTGATTTCGGCTCGATGTCACCCTCTCCGCCAGTCCCCCCTTCTGACGTCCCCCCTCACCGTCGCCGCCGCCGTCGTCGCCGCCGTCTTCGTCGCCGCGCCGTTGTCGTCGTCGTCGCCGCCGCCGGCGTCGTGATTGTCGCCGCCGTCGTCGTCGCCACGCCGTCGTCGTCGCCGTCGCCGTCGCCGTCGTCGTCGTCGTCGCCGCCGTCGTCGCCCCCAGCGCGCCTCGCGGCGCGGGGGGGTCCGCTCCTCGGCGGCCAGGGGGCGGGCCAGATGGTGGCGGTCGACCTGGACGGCGACGGCGAGCCGGAGAGCGCGCGCGCCGCTTTTTCCCCAATCAGTGCTTGCACTGAAGGGGTCCTATGGCGGAGGTTGAAAGATTTGGCGAGAGTTCCCCGCCGGTTTCGGTGGCATGCTTGGTTCCCAGGTTCCCGGTTCCGGGTTCCCGGGTTCCCCGTTACTGGTTCCGGGTCGATTTCGGTGGGTTTGGGGTTCCTGGGCTCCCGGGTTCCCGGTCGATCTATTCAGCGAAAGCATCCATTGATAGGGGTTTTTCTCTCGTTTGCTTTGAGCGGACGGTAGCGGGGGAAAGGTGTGCCTAAAGAGCCCCTAAAGGTGGCCCTAGGGGGTCCCAAAGGATGCCCTTTCGGACCCGAAGGGCCCCAGTGAAAAAGAGGGTTCTAGAGCCCGCGCAGTGCCTTCCAGGGCTCGTTTGTTTCGGACTGCATGGAAAGGTGGCCCGAAAGAACCCCAAAAAGTGCACAATCAACCAGGCAGTTGGCAAGTCGGGGGAAGACTTGCCAAAGTCTTCGTCTGAGTTCGACAGGTCTTTCCCAACAGAATCATGGTTTAGATGGCCCTGGTGTGTGTCCTGCCTCCGGCCGAGCGGTGCCTCTGACGCAAGGAGCTTGACTTCAGAAAAACAGGAAGTCATCATCAGAGTGATGGGGCCGAACGGTCATTCACTTTCCCTGGGTGCGTGGCTGAAGTAGGGTTCCCGATTGCTCCAACAACGGCTCCCGCCTGAGACTTCCTCCCGATTTACTTAGGATTGGCGCTCCCGCCAGTGACTTCCTCGCAATTTAGTCAGGACCCCCCATCCCGTCTGAGACTTTCTCCCAATTTACTCAGGAACAGCGCTCCCGCTAGAGACTTTCTTACAATTTGGTCCGGGTCAAACTGCAGTGTTGCTCCCCCGGACTACTACAACAACGGCTCCCGCTTGAGACTTCCTCCAATTTTACTCAGGACCCCCGCTCCCGCCCGAGATTTCCTCCCAATTTAGTCAGGATCGGCGCTCCCGCTTGCGACCCCCTCGCAATTTAGTCAGGACACCCCCTCCCGTCTGAGGCTTCTTCACAATTTACTCAAGAACGGCGCTCCCGCTTAGGATCTCGTTGCGCTTTAGTCTAGACCGCCGGTCCCGCCAGACATCCCCTTTTCAGGAACTGCGTTTTCGCTTGTGACTTTTTCGCAGGTTTTTCAGAAATCGCACTATCTACGATCAGGCTCCACGCTCGCGCAAAGGACGCCGTCACACTTTACTTTGGAATTTCGCTCTCGCCCTACTCAGGCATCCCGCTTGAATGTCCCACCCGCCCGACCCGCCCGTCAGAGGATCGCCCGCCCGTCGTGGGCTGCCGCTCGAGACTTCCATCTGGAATGGCGCTTTCGCTTAGGACTTCTTCACCTCCCACGGGGCCGCTGGGCAACAACACTGTCCACTGCCATAGGTCGTTGTCCTGCATGCGGTGACCACCACGTTATAGCTAATGTGATGATGTCCCAGTGTCGATTGCCGCATCCCACAGACAAGTGCCAGAGCTCGTTGCCTCTGATTGCTGTTTCGCCTCCCGCTTCTTGCTGAGCAGCGCCAAAGCCAGCTACCACTATGCGGTTTCCCCGCTCGCCGTGAATGTCGCATGTCGTGCAGCAGCGACACAGCCCGCGGCCCCTGCTGGTTCCTCTCACCCACCCTGGCCCTGCAGCGCTCTAGGCGATGGCTCGGGCACCACATTCGCCTTCAACACTCCGCCGAGCAGCACCAGAGGTGTTGCATGGCGCTGTTGATGGCGCGACCCATGGCGAAGCCTTCGTTAACCTGGGTTGGAATGGCTGGCGCAAGCCATGGCGCAAGCTGAATCGCAACTCGCGGCACAAATTACCGTCGTCCCTCCCTCTTGCCCCTTTAATCCCTCCCTTCCTCCGATCCCTTCGTCCTCTTTCTTTGTCTTTTCCCTTTCGTTTCCCTGTTGAGGGGCTTCTCCAATTCCCCGTGACCCAGAAGGAATACAACCCCCCAGAAGGGGGTACGATCGAAGACGGAGAGGGCGGGTATCCAGAGCTTGGGATACGCATAGTGAATGACACGCGGGCCGATCGGAGCGAACCGTCTTGTAATGATTATTGTTGTTGTTGGTGGTGGTGGCGGTGTTGTTGTTAATGTTGTCGCTGTTGAGCTCTCACTTCGGAAGAATAATTATGATTGATTCCTCCACACCGGTGCATACTGTTTTTCTCAATCGAAGTGTGCCCCTCGACGCTCGCACCTTGTTTTTTGACAGGGAAAGTCTTCCTGGTCAAACTGGTTCCCTGGGCCCCGGGTTACAACAACAACGGTTCCCGTTTGAGACTTCTATGCAATTTAGCCAGGACCCCCGCTCCCGCCCGAGACTTCCTCGCATTTTATTCACGAATCGCGCTCTCGCTTGGGACTTTCTGGCAATTTTTTCAGGAATCGCTCTTCCGGCGCTCTGGAGTCGCGCTCTCGCTGGAGACTTGCTTGCAACTTACTGACGAATGGCCTTGCGTTGGGATGCCTTGCAATTTGCCCAATCGCCGCGCTCCCGACACCCAGGCACCCAGGAGTCGCGCCCATTGTGGCCCCATGTGCATGCCCTTCGTGGCCCCGCTGTCGCCATTTGTGTCCCCCTCACTGTCCTGCGTGGCCCAGTTGCTACCCTCAGTGGCCCCATAGTTGCCTTCTGTGGCCCCGCATTATCTGCACTTCGTGGCCCCCGCTCGTTCGCGCTCACGCATTCCCTTCGTGTCCCCGCTGTCGCCCTTCGTGGCCTACTTCGTGCCCTTCGTGGCCCTGCTGTCGTTCTCTCTCGCTCTCGCTTTCGCTCGTCGTCGCCGTCGTCGTCGTCGTCGTCGCCGTCGTCGTCGTCGTCGTCGTCGTCGTCGTCGTCGTGGTCGGTCCCCTGTCCGTCCCTCTTGGGGTCGGGTCGACGGTCCGCGGCCGCCCCGCCGATCAGCGCTGCCGCTGGCCAGGCCGACGGTCCGCGGCCGCCCCGCCGCTTGCCGGGGCCCGGCCTGCAGGGAAGAAAAGGTATACCCCCCAAAGGGGGTTCGATCGAATACGAAGAGGGCGGGTATCGAGGGTTTGGGAAATACGCGTTATTGGACACTCGGGCATATAAGGGCGAACGGTTTTAAAATTACTGTTGCTGTTGTTGTTGTTGTTGTTGTTGTTGTTGTTGTTGTTGTTGTTGTTGTTGTTGATGCTGCTGCTGCTGCTGTTGTTGTTTGTGGGACTTTCCTTCCCAAGATTAATGTTTGACGGTTCCCCCGCGGTGGCCATTCTGTTTTTCAATTAGAGCGTTCCGCCCCAGGCCCATTGTTTTTTTACAAGGGACAGTCTGTGGTCACCGGACTGTGTCGTCGGCCCCCAGTTGAAAACAGCAAAATGCTCCTTGCTGGTACGTCTTCGCAATTTATTCCGCAATTGCGCTCTCGCGCGGGACTGCCCCACAATTTGTACAGGAATTGCGCATTCGCGTGGAACTTCCAAGCGCCGCGCCTTCGACGCTCAGGAGTCACGCTTTCGCGTCGGTTTTCATTTCGATGTTACTTGGGAATCGCGCGTTCGCGCGAGATTTTCTCGCGAATCATGCAGGACGCGCGCTTCAGCAACCCGCCTGCTCCACTTGGCCGCTTCGGCCCGCCTTCCCGACCCGCCTGTCCAGATCTACCCGCCCAGTCAACCCGTCAGGTTCTGCCACGTTTCCGCTCATAGCCCTCCTCTTGCAAATTCCTTGATCCATCGGTTTTCCCTCCCCGTCCAATCTTGCCTCCTTTTCCCCTTCTCTAGGGGCTGCTCGACATGCACGTGGCAGGTAAGGGAGACTTACGATTGACCCAAAAGGGGGTACCGTCGAAGACGACGGGGGCGGGTACCGACGGTTTGGGATATATGTGTTGAATGGCGTGCGAGCAGATAGGGGCGAATAATTTTATAATGGTTGTTGCTGGTGGAGGTGAGGGTGTTGTGGTTCCTGTTGTTGTTGTTGTTGGTGGTGTTGCCTTTGTTGTTGTTGCTGGTGGTGTCGAATTATCTGTTCGCAGGAATGATTAGTTTAGGTCCCCCCTGCCAAGTAAACATTCTGCTTCTTGTTCAACTAAGGTGCTCACCCCGGGCCTTGCACCCTGTTTCTCCCACATGGGAAAGCGAGTTGTTACCAATCTGCGCCTTTTTCCGCCTGTTTGCAACAACAGCGGCTCCCGCCTGATCCCTCCTCACAATTTATTCCCGAATCGAGCTCTCGCGCGGGATGTCCTCACAATTTCTACAGGAATCGCGCTCACGCGTGGGACTTCTTCCCATGAATTGAAGCGCCGCGCCCTCGACACTCAGGAATCACGCTCTCGCGTCGGATTTCCTCGCGATGTATTTGCGACTCGCGCTATCGCTCCAGACTTTCCGGCGATTCATGCTGGATCCGCGCTTCAGCAACCCGCGTGCTCCACCTGGCCGCCTGGGCCCGCTTTCCCGACCCGCACGTTAAGGTCTACCCGCCCGAACTGTGTGTCTGGTTTTGCCATGTGGTTTCTGCTCCTAGCCTGGCCTCCTTCCTGCTACTCCATCTCGTGCTCCATCCTCCCCCCATCCCCAGTGTCCCTTCCTTCCATCCGTCCTCTCTTCCCTTGTCTTAGGGGCTGCACGAAAAAAACACGTTGCAGGTAAGAAACATACACCCCCGAGCGGGCACGATCGAAAAATGAAGAGGGCGGGTGTCTTGGCTTTGAAATATACGTGTTGAATGGCCCGCGGACAGATAAGAGCGAACAGTATTGGAATGATTTCTGTTCAACTCTCACTTCTGAAGAACAATTATTGTTGATCCCCCTGCCCGGTGCCAATTGTAGGTTCTTAAGTTGAAGTGCCCTTCCCGTGGCTCGCACCCTGCTCTTTATCACAAGGGAAGTCATGAGCCTCAAACTACGCCCCTGGCCCCCGAGTTACAACAAAAACGGTTCTTGCTCACAATGTATTGAAACATTTCCTTCTCGCGCGAGACTTCCTCACAAGTTATACAGGAATCGCGCTCCCGCATGGGAGTTCCTCGCAATTTATTCTAACGCCGCGCCCTCGACACTCACTGATCACGTTCTCGCAATGGATTTCCTCACGATTTTATTTGGGAATCGCGCTATCGCTCGAGACGTTTTTTCGCGATTCATGCTGGACGCGCTCTTTAGCAACCCGCCTGCTCGACCTGGCCGCCTGGGCCCGCGTTCCAGACACGCCCGGTAGGTTCTACCCGCCCGATCTGCCCGTCTGGTTCTGCCACGTGTTTTCTGCTCCTAGCCTCCCTTCTGCTACTCCCTATTCTCGTGCTCCATCCTGCTCCCTCCCCATCGTCCCTTCCTTCCATCCGTCCTCTCTTGCCCTGCCTTACGGGCTGCACGAAATACACGTTGCAGGTAATACACATAAACCCTCAAGGGGGCCGGCACGATCGAAGACGAAGAGGGCGGGTATCGAGGGTTTGGAATACATGTGTTCAAAAGCACGAGAGCAGATAAGAGCGATCAGTCTTAACATGATTGTTGTGCTTGATGATGCTGATGATGTCGTAGTTTGTGTTGTTGCTCTTGGTGTTGGTGTTGCTTTTGGTGTTGGTGTTGTTGTTGGTAACGTTGTTGATGTTGTTGATGTTGTTGATGTTGATGTTGCTGTTGTTGTTGTCGTCGTTGTTGTCGTCCCACTCGCGACCCAGCCCGCGACCCACCCGCGACCTGCCCGCGGCGGCGGTCCACCCGCGACCCACCCGCGACCCACGCGCGACCCACCCGCGATCCACCCGCGACCCCACCTGCGACCCAGCCGACTCCTCGCCCGCCCTCTCATTCTTAGCCGCGAGCTGCAGAAACAGGGGCCACGAGATCCCCCAAAATACCTGGAACGTATCCTGAGCCTATCGCATCATGACATCATTCTCTCTTTACGATCGATTCATGTCCTGCCCTTCTCCTACCTCGCCTCAGTGCGCTCACTCGGAGTCGGAGTGTCGACAGAGTGCCGTAGTGCCTTTGCTCGTTCATATCGGTAAGTGGGCAATGCTTCAGGTTCTGTTCCCCATTTGGAGCGTATGATGACATCCATCATGATCGTGTGAAGTTCCTGCCGATGCCAGGCCCCAGACTGATTCCTGACAGTGTGCAGGGGCATGCGTCCCGAACCCCTTCAGCGATGGACTCCGCGGGACAACCTGGGACGGGCCATGTCTGAAGGGGAGGGAGACGTGCTTGCTAGCGCCGCCGCGCGCTGCGCGGTTGTCCCCATGGTCACCGCGCGCGCGACGCCCGCCTGCGCTGCCGCGCGCAGCCGAAGCGCTGAGAGGGGGAGGCCCCAGACATGATCGCGTCGTAAAAAAGTCACGACGGGAGGTTTTGGGTCGTTTTCGGCTCCTGGGAGCCCTCGCTGGACCTCGGGACCGTCCAGAAACGGCTCAGGATGCAAAGCCGGTCCCGGAGAAAGAGTCGGGATTTCTAGGGACCCCGTATTGATCGGGGCCGCAAAGAGGGGGGTGATGACTGGGGTGGGGGGATATCATGGCGTGGGCCACGATATCTCCCCAGATTTCATGGCGCCTCTTCGTATTTCATTACGTCCCTGGCCCCCCCGCTGGGCCGCGCACGTGCCGCTGGTTATGATTTGCACCCCCCCCCTCTTGGACACCCCCCTCTTGGCCGCTCCCGGAGTTAACATTTTCAGGACGTCGCAGATCTGTGGGGTTGGAGGCCCCGCTTTCTTTTGCCCTCCCTCTGCTAATTTACAGCTGTGCGTGGCCCGCTTAGCTTCTATCGGAAGAGGCTCGCTCTCGACCCGCGGATCAAAAAAGTCTGCGGGGTTGGAGGAGGTAGGGGGTCGCCTGGGCGGGAGGGCGCACGAAACGCCCCGATTTGTTCACTTGGGCAGGCCTTGGGACCGGCTGTGGGGGCGAGGTGGCCCCTACCCGTGGTTCCACCAGCGAGGGGGGGAGAAAGGGGCCCCCTCGTCGCCGCGGCTGCTCGCGGTTCGGGTGATTGGAAAGTGTCGACCCCGGGAGGGCTCCGGTGACGGGTTTGGGGCGAACTTGCCCGCTTCCCTCCTCCTGCGAGCTTCTCTTTCCGTTCTATTCGACTCAGACCTCAGCGGCCGCCTCCAAGGGTGGGCCCTCCATCATAAGCCGTGAAGTTCGGTGGAGGAGCGCCGAAGATCGGCAACTCGTTGGCTTGTCCGCGTGCGTGCTGACAGGCAGATCGTCGGTTTCACATGCTGCCTTCAGCTGGGAGCCAGACATCGACGTCTGGCGGCATGGGGGGCAGTGTAAACGTTGGCTGTCACGTGCCGGAACTGATGGCTCCAATGCGCCACCGCGCCACCCGCCTCGGGACGGCCTCCGCGCCGATGGAGCGCGTCGTTAGTTCGCGCGTTCGTTCTTCCGGAGGGCCAGGAGCTTGAGGCTGAGGGACCTGGGGCAAGGGCGGGCGAGGCTAGGACAGGGATACATCGATCCAAAGCATCCCAGGACGCTCTCGGAGCGCACCAGAACAATATGACAAGGCCGCGGCGTCCGATACATCCTCCAGAACCGCCGAATCTCAGGGATCCCTGATTTACCCCTGTCCGATTTTGTCCTTGTCCTGGTTTCATCTTACAAGGAAGGACGGCCGAGTGGGTCGTCGCGTTGGGTGGCCTTTGACGTTTGCTTCGTCCGGGATCGAGCTGATTAGGATACCGATGAAAGTTCCGGTCCACTTCGCGGCGATCGCAGAATGGAGCCCCAGCCGAGGGTTTGATTTGCCGGGACAGAACTCTTGTTGTTTCGGAGGTTGTTAGACCTCCTACCCTGACACGTCGATTAAGGAATTGGCCGTTCTCGGTTCGCGAGAGGGCGTCGTGGCCGTCGTTTTTGCGGGCCCATGTCCGTCGGTTTCGGTTCCAGGCCGTTTTCACTAAGGAGAGGTGAGCTAAATGGAGGCTTGTCCGCCGCCGATGGTTTGCCTCGAAGAATCAGAAAAATTGCAGGCACGAGTGCAGAAGAAGAAGAAGAAGCTTTCGGCCCCCCTGGCGGCGACTCCAGCGCCCCTCTTGCCAGGCATGGGGGTTCGCCAGCGCCGATCCAAGAATTCCGCTCGCAGCTCCGAAAGTGTATTCCATCCCTATGCCGTCGCCGATCAAAAGGTCCAAGAAGTCCAAGAGATCCGCTCCAGCTCAAAATTTACGGTTAGTTCATCGTCTTCTTCTGTTCACTCTGGCCCGCTCCCGCCCGGTCGAGCGAGGACGTTATGATGAGCATCGCGGAGGCAGAGAGCATGGGACGCCCCATCGGCAAGGCGCCTGCTTCCTTCGTTGTAAGTCCTTAGAGGCGACGATTCGACTGCACGATGACGGAGCGGGGAAGGGGATTGAGGAAGAGGAGACGCGCACACCCCTGCATGCTGCGAAACAAAACGTGATGGCACATGCTAGCGAAGTGACCAAGCACCGCCAACCATGTGTCAACTGTGTTCGGCCGTGGCTGCACGTTTGGAACTCTTCGCTTCGTGATTTTGTGTGTACATGTGCGTGTGCCTGCGTGTGTGTATGTGCGCGCAAAAACCTCCACACATCATCGATCAAGTCAGCAACCAAGTGACCACACCCTTCCACACCTTCAACGGGGTAATGGCGCACGGACCTGTGAGTTTTCATGCTCATGTCATTGTTCCCCCACGAGCACGTCTAGCCCCCAGACCTCGACCCACGATGCCCATCGGCGCCGAAGACGCCGGCCACCGAGCCGAGGACGGCCAGCGGCGGCGCCGGGCCGGACCTGCAGGGGCCAGTCGGGCTGGAGCGAGGCGCGGCCGCGGCGCCACGTGCCCCCGGGAGGCCAAGAACGCGTCCAAGGACTTCCGGCCCAGCCGCATGGTGAAGGCCGCCGGAGCCGGAGGGTGAGGGCGAGTGGGGGGGGGAGGGAGGAGGGAGAGGGGAATGTGGGGACGGAGGTGCCGATGGCGATGATGATGTCGGCGACGATGGCGATGACGATGGCGATGACGATGACGATGACGGTGGCGATGACGAAGATGAGGATGATGGTGATGATGTTGTTGATGATCATGGTGGTGATGACGATGACGATTAGGGTGATGATCTGGATGAGGATGAGGATGATGATGATGATGATGATGATGATGATGATGATGATGATGATGATGATGATGATGATGTTAATGACGACGATGATGATAATGATAATGACGCCGATCAGAATGAAGATGATGAGGACGACGACACTCATGGTGATTTGTTAATGATGCTGATGATGATGGCGATGGCGATGGCGATGATGACGACGACGACGATGATGATGACGATTACGATGACGATGACGATGATGCTCATGATGATGCTGATGATGATGATGATCCAGATGATTATGATGATGATGACGATGATGATTATTGTCGTGATGATGCCCGTGATGATCATGCTGATCACGATGGTGACGACAATGCCGATGACGATAATGTTGATAATGCTGCTGATGATGCTGATGTTGATGATGCTCAGCATGATGATGATGATGATGATGATGATGATGATGATGATGACGATGATGATGATGATGTCGATGTTGATGGTGATGGTGACTATGAGGATGATGATGTTGATGACACGTATGATCAGTATGAGGTTGATGATCATGTCGCTCATGACGATGACGATGGTGATGACGATCATGATCACGATGCCGGCGGTGACGACGATGTCGATGATGATGTTGTTGATGAAGATGATGTTGTTGACGATAATTATGACGATGATGATGCTGATGATGTGATGACGATATGGATGTTGAGGATGATGACGATAACGATGTTGGCGACGGTGACGGTGATGATCATATCGCGGAGTATGATGATGATGTCGTTGATGTTGTTGATGATGATGATGAATTTGATGATGACGACTATGATGATGATAATGTTGAGCATGATGATGATGCTGATGATCATGCTGATAATGATGATGCTAATGATGATGGTGGTGATTGCCATACTACTTGAAGTGGTGCCCCTGATGCTGAGGATTATGTTGAGTATGATTGCCATGCTGTTGCTGATGCTGATGCCGATGATGGTACTGACGCTGATGCTCATCATGATGTCGGTATCGGCGGGAAGAGGATGAAGCTGATATTATTCATAGAGGACGAGTCCGATGGGGATGGCTCTCCCCTCGACGCCACGACTCGAAGAACAGACAGCGGCATGCACATTTCTCTCTAGGCTTACGCCACATCCGGCGATCCCTTCCATGTATATCATCTCTGTGGCCTCTAACTGGAACGCGTAGAGGATGTCTTAGGGACATGTGGTGACCAACGTGCAGCCCCAGGGCAGTGGCCTGCGTGCCGTCGGAACGGTGCCTGCTCTTGCCGGGGCTTGGCGGCTGCCCCAGTCGTGAGATGGGCGGCAGGGGTACGGCGCCGGAGGTGATGCGAGCCTCTCTTGATTTCTCCTTTCCCATTCTCTCACGCCTTTGTTTTTCTGTCGTTCGCCCTCGCCGTCTCGTCCCCTCTCCTCCCGGCTCCCCCCGCCCTTCCCCCCGTGTCGCCGTTGTTTGTGCTTTCGGTTGGTAGTCTTCGCATGCCGCAGTCGTTTATATCGTGCCGTATCGGAGGCCATAATGAGTTGCTTTCGTGCGGTCGCGGGGTCACTCAGAATTGCAGTCGGAGCCACCTTGGACCATATTTTTGCGGACCAGTCCCCCCGTGCCCCCCCGTGCGTCAGCGGCCAGCCGCCTTCGCGCCAGGCCCGCGGCGGCCCGGCCCGCCGCCACTTCAAAGGCGGCGAGGCCACCTGGGCAGCCCACGCCATCGCCGAAAGCTTCACAGCTCGTGCTCGCGCGTGCCCCCCCCTCCCGGGCACCAGCCCGCGCGCGGCGCAGCACCAGCCCGCGCAGCCTTGGGGACCTCTCGTGACGAAGCAACAACACACACCCATACCCAATGGGGGAATCAGAGAGGGCTATGGGTGCGTGTTGTCGGATGGAGGTCCCCGCTCGAACGGGAGCGTTCCCCAGGGTCCGACAACCCGCACCCATACCCATAGCCAGTCCTCCTCCCAGCGACCTCCCTATGGGTATGGGTGTGTGTTGTTCGTTCGTCATTTCGGGGATCCCTGGGCCTGGGCGGGAGTGTGGTCGGAATTGCAACATCACGTAGCCGGAATTGGAACCGGAAGGGGCACCGGCATGGTCGCTGGCGCTCGAGCGTGAGCCTGAAACGGCGCATTGGAGTTTGCCTCTAGTAATTCCGCCTGCACTTCTGCCTGTGGAGTGCTGGTCCGTTCCGCCACGGCCTCCGGCGAGCCCCTGGCGCATCCCCCTTGAGCCCCCTGCGCGGCGCACTCCCCTGGCGCGCGCCCCCCGCGCGCACTCCTGGCGCGCCTCCCCGGCACATCCCTCCGAAAGCGCGAAGCCCAAGGTGCGGAGAGGGGCGAAATTCGCAGCCCCGCGGCTGGAGATGCGCGCCCTGGGCGCGGGGCAACTGCCCCAGGCAGAGGTCTCGGGGGGGTTGAGTGCGCAAGCCCCTGCGCATCGAAAGTGGGGAAACGGGCCCCAGCAGAGGTCCCGATGGAGGTGGGCTGCACTATTTTGCGTTGGACGGTCCTGGGATACGCTGCGGCGTTTCGGGGGCAACCTTGAGCGATCTTGGGACCATCTGGGATCCATTTAGGGTAATTCTGGGCGCCGCCATCCGCGCCTCCCGCCCTCGGCTGCCGTCGCGTGGAACCTCCCGCGCGAGGGCCGCGAGGGCGGGAGGTGCAGATAGAAACGAGTTGAAACGTCTATTTTGCAGTTGAGGCCTCCAGCCATTATGTACAGCGGCTTGTTCGGGCGACCTCGTCATGGGCGAACGCGACGCTGACAGCTGCCCCAGTTCGTTTTGGAGGAGCAGATGGCGGCACAGACATGATGTTTCGAAGCTCTGCGCGAATTCCTTGGGTCGGCGCTGGGCCCCCTTGGCGTATCTGGCGCCGCTGGTGGTTCGCTCCGCGTGCCAGGGAGGAGGATCCAGCGCCGATCCAAGAAGTCCGCGCGGACCTCGGAGACTGTATGCGTTTGCTTTTGTTGTTCTTCGAACGAATCTTCGAGGAGAGAAGGATACCTGTGCACGTCCTGGAGAGCCCTCGTCGCCTGTTGGAAAAAGCAGCGGGCATCGTCCGGGGTCCATCGTCTATGTCTATGACCGTCTCGTGCGAGGCGTCGGCATCGCCGCGTCTCTCTGCGCTGAGTTTTCGGCTTCCTGTGCATTGAGACTCCTGCGTCCACCCCAAGCGCCTGCGCCTGCCGCGCTCCGACCCGCAATCACGGCTGCCCAAGTCCGGAAGAGTGCAGGGAAAGGTTCGGGGAGCAGTTGTATTGGTGTCCCTTTTGTTCCTCCGGACGCAAGCGGATCCGGAGGGAGCCGGGGCCTGAGCGTTTCGCAACCAGCGAGGGTCTTCGTTATGAAGAGAGAGCGCCCCGCGTCCTTCCTCTCCTGTCCTCCTCCTCCTGCTCCTCCTCATCATCCTCCTGCTGCCCCCTCCCGCCTCCGCTCACCATCCTTATTATCAGCATCATCATCAACATTATCAGCATCAGCGGCAGCACCACCACCACCATCATCATCATCAGCATCATCATCATCTTCATCATCAGCGTCACCATCACCATCACCGTCATCCTCATCGTCATCATCATCATCAGCAGCATCGGTATCATCATCATCATCATCATCATCATCATCATCATCATCATCATCATCATCATCATCAGCATCATCATCATCATGGTCATGGCCGTCATCATCATCATCATCATCATCATCATCATCATCATCATCATCATCATCATCAGCATCATCATCATCATCGTTCTCGTTTCGGCACTTCCGTCACACGCCCTCGTGGCCCCATAGGGATGTCCACCCAGGTTCTTAGTCCCAGTGGCGCCGCCCGCATGTGGGCGCCACTCCCGTTTCGGCACACTCCTCATACGTTCTGTGGCCCCATAGGGAGCTCCACCTACGGCCTACGGTCCCACTTGCGCCGCCTGCATGTGGGCGCAATTCCCGTTTCGGCACACCCTTCACACGCTTCGCGGCCCCACTGTGAGCTCCACCCAAGGCCCCACTGGCGCCGCCCGCATGTGGGCGCCCCCCCCGTTTCGGCACACCCCTCACACGCTTTGTGGCCCCATAGGGGGCTCCACCCAAGGTCCCACTGGCGCAGCCCACATGTGTGCGCATGTGTGCGCCACTCCCGTTTCGGCTGACTGTTCACACGTTTCATGGCTCCGCAGGGAGCTCCACCGCAGGCCCCAGCGGCACAGCCCACATGCGGCCCATAGGGAGTTCACTCAAGACGGTGTTCACAATTTCTGTCATCACAATTGCATATGATTGATTGCTGCGCCAGGCTAATTTTGTTTGGGGGGTGGAGCTTGCATTGGTTTCTTCGGACTCTCGGACCTTCAAACAACCAGTCAGGATGAAGAGCTGGTCCTGACGGCAGAACCGGTCGTTTGTTTCTTCCCCCCCTCCGCTCGCTGTGCACGCGGCCATTGGGGCTTGGCGGGGGTGGGGCGAAGAGCAAAGGCAGGGTAGAGGGTGAAGGATGAGGAGGAGGAGGAGGAGAAGCAGAAGGCTCACTGACGCAACGGTCATCCAGCCAGTGTCGGTCAAAGGTAAAAAGCAGGAGACTCGAATCATATCCTTGGGAATCAGAACATATGTTAGCGCCCCCATGTGCAGCTCTCACATCGCCTCTTGGACCTCTATCGGAGCCCTCTTGGAGCGCTTGGGGGTGTCTTCGGAGGGCCGTCGAAAGCGAAAAGGCGAGAAGTCAACGCATTTCTGATATCCCTAAGGCTTTCGACGGATGTTGGCCTCTTGATGGCTTCCTTGGGAGGCTCCGTGAGCATCTGCAGCCGTCTTGGTGCGGCCTTGGAGCCTCTTGAAGCATGTTGGGAGCCATCTTGAGCCATCCAGGAGGTCATCGTTGACTCTCTGAGGCCCTCTGGTAGCTACCTTGGGCCATCTCGGACGCTTCAATCGGTCGCGACCACCCACCTGTCCAGGTCCAGGGGGAGGGGGGAGGGGGAGGCGCAAGCCGTGCCGCGCATCTCCCCCCGTCCTCCCGCTACATAAGCAGCAGCCCGGTCTCAGCACAGGCAGGGGCCGCCATCGACAACACTCGGGAACAAATGCAGACGCCCGCCAGGTGCGCGATGCCCGCAAGGTGCTCCGCACATGATTACAAGGTGCGCCTCGCGCACAAGGCGCGTCACATTGGGCAATCGGTCGACAGCCCTAATCCTTGTCAAAACCAATGCGAAGTGACGGCGGGATTGCGAGCATTAGGTATCGTGTGTGGGTGTACACCCGCAATCACTTTGCACTTGTTTTCCACAGGGTTAGTAGGCCTGCGCACAGCAGGATGCCGCCTCCCACCACCGTCCCTGACAAAGTGAGTTTTGATTTGCTTGTTGGAGCGGATGGTGGGTTTGCACGCAGCAGGCAACATGTCGGCCCCCCGCCGTCCTCGTCAACAACCCATGCATACCAAAAGTGTTCGCGCGCGGATCGTCACATTGTGGGATCGCGTTTTGTGGCGTGGACCATTTGATCGTGCTAGGTGGACGATCGCCAGGGAGGGCTGGCCTGATCGAGGCCGCACTGAGAAAGCGGTAGCTAGTGTGGCGTAGAAGTTGGTGCGAGCGTTGACGTGCGCGGCGCGCGATACGGAGGACTTCCGCAGCAGGTTCATGCAAGCGAGTATCGTGCATGCAGGGAAGTGCCACTTCGTCGAGGGAACGCGAGTGGTGCGCGCAGGCTGCGCGGGTCTCGCGTGCACGTCGCGCGACCGGCACGCGCAGGAGGGGCGCAGGCGAGCGCAGCCGGACGCTGCCCCAAACCGACCGCCTTTGCTCAGGGGGGGGGACTCTACACGGCCCTTTCGGAAGAGAAGCCCTCTCGAGCTCGCGCGCCCGACGCCCGCCCGGGTTGCGTCTCGTGGGCCGCCTGCCGACGGGCAGCCAGCCAATTCCGCGATTATTCCGCAAGAGCAACTCCTGATGGGCCTGTTTTCCACCACCGCCACCATAGGTTGGAGGGGGAGGGGGTCCTCCTCCTCTTCCTCCTCCTCCTCCTCTTCGTTCTCCTCCTCCTTCCCCCCTCCAACTTATCGTGGTGGTGGTGGAAAACAGGCCCATCAAGCAAATCCCATCTCCCGCCCAGCAGGGATCTGCGCAAGACAGCCTCGGACGGATGGGGCACGAACAGGCAGGAGAAAGCGCGGCCTGGGGAGATGGGAGTAGACGCAGTGCGAAGGATATACGAGATCCCAGCACGAAGGACCTAAAAGCCTTCGGCCGATCCCACCACCGTGCCTGGGTTGTGGGTCATAGGCCTCTTGGAGTTGCGTTTGATATGTCATGGGATTGCAAGCCGATCGAGAGATTGGAGAGTGTCAGCCCGTTGGCGGAGCGTGCTCGGCGAATGGAAGCGAAACAATATATTTGTTCGGTTTGAGGCCAGTTAGCGGGGGGCCGCTTCGCCAATTGGAGACACATAATCCTAACCCCTTGGTTCGAGGGAAACTCGCAGAGCGGCGCTCTGCTAATTGGGGCCAAGCAAGTTCTGGACGTATGGTTTGAAACTCATTTGCGGAGTGGCGCCCTGCTGATTGTGGCCAAGCAGTCGGCGACGCCGACGACGACGACGACGACGACGACGACGACGGCGGCGGCGGCGGAGGAGGAGGCGAGACGAGGAACAGAGGGAACATCGGGGAACAAACAATGCCATAAACGTAAGCACTCTGAGGTCCGCGCGGATTCCTTGGATCGGCGCTGCACCTCCCCAGCGAAGGGCACAAAGCATCCAAAACGTCAATCCTCGATCCCGATCCCCCCGTTCTGCCCCCCTCACCCACCGCCCGTCGCCACTCGACACCGGTGGTCGTTGGCGTGGCCGGCGGCGTCCTGGTTGTCGTCTGCGGTGTCCTCGTCGTGTCCGCCGCCGCCGTCCGTCGTCACCAGCCCTCGCCCGTCGGCGTCGTCGCCGCCTCTCGCCCTCGGCCCTCGCCCGGCGCTCTCCCCCCTGGGCGCCCCCCGCGGCGCACGCGCGCGCTCGCGCCAGGGCACGTCCAGGGCCGCGAAGCTGGCCCGCAGGGGCGGCGGGGCCATCAACGACACCACGCACCGCGACGCGGCGCGCCGCCGCGGCGCTGCCCTTTCGGCGGCTCCTTCGGCGGCCGCTCCGCGGCCGCCTCGCTCGGCCGCCTCGGCGGCCCCTCGGCCGGCCCCCCCTCGGCGGCTCTGCGGCGGCTCCTCGGGCGGCCCGCCCAACGGGGCTGCAGGACGGGCACGGGGGCCATCCTGAGGCCATCTTGGAGGGCGCGGCGCCCAAACCATGCCCCGCCGACCCGAAGGCGCGCTGCGCCCCCGAGGCCTCTCGGAGGGCCCCCAGGGCCTCTGGGAGAGGTCGCCCGACGCAGTCCGGGTGCGCCCCGGGAGCGCTGGGGCCGCCCAGGGAGAACGGGGGACCCAGGTCGCCCAAGCAGGGCGGACGGCCACGTGGCGGGGCCGAGGGCTGCGAGGGGGTGGCCCTGCAGTGCTTCTAAGCGGCCCCCTGCCCTCCCACCGTGGGCCCACGAGGTGCACGAAGGGTGCACGTTGCTCCACCCCAGTCAGATTGCCCTGTTGATGACTTGGCCTCGCTCGGACGTGTGCATTTTGTTCGGCAAGGGGCATCGAGGAGCAACTGAGGTCATCTTCCGGAGCATACGCGCACGAAACCGACAACTGCACGGGGAATGGACGTCCGAGCGATGGCGAGATGAACACTCGACCGAAGACAGCACTCAGCTCAGAGATCTCGAAGGGACCCGAGTACACCCACCTCGGGCCGCGAGGCACGACGGCGCAGTTCCCCGCGCGCAGGTGGGTGTCTTTCGAGTGTGTCTGTGGTGCATGGCAGCCCGAGAGAAATGGCCGCACACTGCGATGTCGTGCCTGACACGATGTTTGTTGCTCAATCAAGTGGGTTGCGCCATTCCGCCGATCCCCACAAGGAGTGAGCGTTTGAGACCATCGCTTGTTCCTCGCATGATGCTTCTGTATGTGTTCAGCGCATCCAGTCATGCGCCCTGCTACCCCTCCTCGCTCACGCCCCTCGAGTCGCGCAGTCAGCCCTCCGAGTGCTCCAGCCCTTTGCGGTTTTCTCTCTGGACCAGCCTTTTGTTTCCTTGCCTCCCCGCAGAAGTTACGAATAGTGTCTGGGCTGGATAGCCCTGAGTCGTTCTTACTAAGATTCGGGGGTGGACAGAACCCCCAACAGTGACACGTCGATTAGTGAATTGTCCGTTTTCGGTTCTCGAGAGGGCGCCGCGGTCGTTATTTTCCAGGCTTGCGCCCGCCAGGTTTGAGCCTCACGTCGTTTTTACTAAACCACGTTTTACTAAAGGGAGGTCTGTCCATCCCCGAAAGATTTCCGAGGAGTTGCTTCCTGAACCAATCTCGTTGGCGGGCCCTCGAGGGCGGGTCGAAGGCCAATCTCGCTGGCCAGGCCAGTCTCGCTCCCCATCGCATCCCCCCCCTCCCCTTCCAGTTCCCTCCCCTCTCCTTTCGATAGACGTCTTCGGAGGCAGGTCACCGTCCTAGTCCTGGTCCTCGTCCCTCCCCTCCTCTCCCCCCTCCTCTCCCATCCCCTCCCTTCTACTCCCCCCATGATCTCCTCCGCCTCCCCCCTCCTCCCCTCAACAGCCGATCCCGGGACCTGTCCAGGGCCTGCGTCGCGCCCTGTCCCGAATCTCGGGGCGGGTCCAGCCACGGCGACGAGACGCTTGTTTTCGGAAGCCTCAGGAGGGCGAGAAGCTACCAAACACATCCGTCACGCCCTCCCCCAGCCCTCTTTCCCCCCCACACACCTCCACACCTCCAGTTTGCCCCACACGGAGGAAGGGGAGGAGGAGGGAGAAGGATGAGATGGAGGAGAAGAAGAGGGAGGAGGAGGAGGAGGAGGAGGAGGAGGAGGAGGAGGAGGAGGAGCAAGAGGAGGAGCAGGAGAAGGAGCAGGAGGAGGAGGGTGAGATGCAGGAGGAGGAGGAGGTTGAGATGCAGGAGGAGGAGGAGGAGGAGGAGGAGGAGGAGGAGGAGGGTGAGATGCAGAAGGGAGGAGGAGGAGGGTGAGATGCAAAAGGGAGGAGGAGGTGGAGGAGGAGGAGGAGGAGGAGGAGGAGGAGGAGGAGGCCCTGCCGCCGCGAAGCCGCTGCCGGCCCCCGGCGGCCGCGGCAGCGGGGCTCCGCCGCGCGTGCGGAGGTGCGGCTCCAGAAGCTCCGCGGGGGTACTGCCGCGGCCGCAAGGGAGCGCGCCGACGGCGACCACGCCGACGACGACGACGACGAAGACGACGACAAACACGAAGACGACGACGACGAAGACGACGACGAAGATGAAGACCACGACCACGACCACGACGACGAAGGTCACGACGGCGGCGACGACGAAGACGAAGACGGCGACGACGACCACGTCGGTGACGACGACGAAGACGACGACCAAGACGACGACGACGAAGCTGAAGACCACTACGACGAAGACGATGATGACGAAGACGACAACGACGATGACGACGGTGACAGCGTCGAAGACGACGACGACGACCACGATAATGACGACGACAACGAAGACGACGACAACGACGACGGCGACGACGACGATGACGACGAAGACGTCGACATCGACGACGAAAACGAAGACGACGACGACAGCGACGACAAAGACGACGACGACGAAGACGTCGACATCGACGACGACCACGGTGACGACGACCACGACGAAGACGACGACGACGACGAAGACGATAACGACGACGAGGACGATGACGACGACGACGACGACGGTGACAGAGATGCCGCCGATCACCACGGATCGGACGACGGCGACGACGCTGATCACGACGGAATTGACGACGACGCCGATCACGACGGCGCCGTCGGCGGCGGCGGCGACGGCGGCGGCGACCCGCACCGCGGCGCCGACGACGACGCCGATCACGACGAGGCCGACGGCGGCGGCGGCGGCCTGGGGGACCGCGGCCCGCACGGCGGCGCCCGCGGCTTGGTTCTCGCCCCGGCGCCGCCGTCGCCGCCACCCGTCGGTCTCGTGGGCCCCCCTTCTCGCGGGCGCAGAGCGTACTGCGCCCCGGGGGCCGGCCGGGATCCGTGACAGATGGGCCCACCCATTTTGAACCTCACGCGCCCTTTGCGATTGTAGCGAGATGCACGTTTCGAAATGGGCTCGCCCTGTTGGCTGGACTAAGCTATCTAATACAGTTGCGTTTGCCAATGATAAGGGGACTACAGACGAAACGATCAGACCGCCCTACAAGAACGTCTCGCGGCGCGGCAACGAGTATGAGCGTTTGGACAGGAGGATTTAGATTCCCCCTTTGGCCCAAGCCCTGGCCGTAGCCCGTCCCGTTTATGGCACAGCTAGGGTTCAGGACCCTCCACTTCCACATGCTCCTCCTCATCCTTCTCCTTCTCCTTCTCCCCCTCTGTCTCGCACTCACGCGCACACACTCTCCCTTGCTGTCTTTCGCTCTGTCTCCCTCTCTCTCTTTCTCTGTTTGTTGTTGTTGAACTCTCACTTCTGAAGAATAATTATTGTTGATCCCCCCCCGTCCGGTGCACATTTCTTTTTTTGATTGAAGTGCCTTTCCCGGGGCTCGCACCCTGTTTTTTATCAGGGGAAGTCTTGAGAGTCATACTGTATCGTTGGGCCCCCGTTTACAACAACAACGGCTCCCGCCTGAGACTTCCTCACAATTTAGCCCGGACCCCCGCTCCCGCCTGAGACTTCCTCGCATGTTATTCAGGAATCGCGCTCTCGCTTGGGACTTAAAATGTATTCAGGAATCGCTCTCTCGGCGCTCTGGAGTCGCGCTCTCGCTGGAGACTTGCTTGCAATTTACTCAGGAATAGCGCCCTTGCGTTTGAATTTCCCGCAATTTGCTCAAGCGCCGCGCCCCCGACACTCAGGCACCCAGGAGTGGCGCTCACGCTTAGGACTCCCCACAGATTTATTTAGGAATTGGGATCTCGCTGCCCTTGGTGGCCCCGTTGCAACCCTTCGTGGCCCCCTCGCTGCCCTTCGTGGACCCGTTGCAGCCCTTCGTGGCCCCCTCGCTGCCCTTCGCAGCCGCGTTGCACGCTTTCGTGGCCCCCTCGCTGCCCTTCGCAGCCGCGTTGCACGCTTTCGTTGCCCCCTCGCTGCCCTTCGTGGCCCCTTTGCTGCCCTTTGTCGTGGCCCCCTCGCTGCCCTCCGTGTCCCCGTTGCAGCCCCTCGTGGCCCCCTCGCTGCCATTCGTGGCCCCATTGCAGCCCGTCGTGGCCCCCTCCCTGCCCTTCGTGGCCCCATATATGTACGCCCTTCGTGGCCCCCGCTCGTTCGCGCCCGTCGTGGCCCCATATGCATTCCCTTCGTGGCCCCGCTGTCGCCCTTTGTGGCCCCCTCGCTGCCCTTCGTGGCCCCCTTGCTGCCCTCAGTGGCCTCGTTCTTGCCTTCCGCGGCCCAATATACGTATATCCTTCGTGGCCCCCGCTCGTTTGCGCCCGTCGTGGCCCCATGTGCATGCCTGTCGTGGCCCCGCTGTCGCCCTTCGTGGCCCCCTCGCTGTCCCACGTGGCCCAGTTGCTACCTTCAGTGGCCCCGTCGTTACCTTCTGTGTCCCCGCATTATCTACCCTTCGTGGCCCAGCTCGTCCGTGCTCTTCGTGGCCCCATACGCATTCCCGTCGTGTCCCCGCTGTCGCCCTTCGTGGCCTACTTCGTGCCCTTCGTGGCCCTGCTGTCGTTCTCTCTCTCGCTTTCGGTTTCGCTCGTCGTCGTCGTCGCCGTCGTCGCCGTCGTCGTCGTCGTCGACGTCGTCGTCGTCGTCGTCGGGGTCGGTCCCCTGTCCGTCCCTCTTGGGGTCAGGTTGCCGCCGATCAGCGCTGCCGCCGGCCAGGCCGACGGTCCGCGGCCGCCCCGCCGCTTGCCAGGGCCTGGCCTGCAGGGAAGAAAGGTATACCCCCCAAAAGGGGTACGATCGAAGACGAAGAGGGCGGGTATTGAGGGTTTGGGAAATACGCGTTGGTGTTGTTGTAGTTCTTGTTGCTGCTGTTACTGTTGTTGTTGGTGGTACTGTTGCACTCTCACTATTGAAGAATAAGCGTTGTTGATCCCCCCCCTCCGGTGACCAGGGTGTTTTTTCAATTGAAGTGCTTCCCCAGGGGTTCGCACCCTGTTTTTTTTATTAAAAAGAAAGAATAGGGAAAGTCACGGGGCTCAAAGTGGGCCCCTGGCCCCAGCTTTACAACAACAGCGGCTTCCGCCTGATACTTCGTCACAACGTATTCTTAGATCGCGCTCTCGCGGGATTTCCTCACAATTCATGTACGCATCGCGCTCTCGCGTGGGACTTCCTCGCTATTTACTCGGACGATGCGCCCGCGGCGCTCAGGAATCACGCTCTTGCTTTGGCTTTTCTTGCGATTTACTTGGGAATCGCCCTTTCGCTCGAGGCTTCCTCGCGATTCATGCAGGACCCACGTTTCAGCAACCCGCCTGCTCGACCTTGTCGCCTAGGCCCGCCTTCCCGACCTGCACGCTATGGATGTGCCCATATGATCTGCCCGTCTGGTTCTACCACTTGTTTTCTGCTCCTTGCCCCCCTCCTGCTAAGGTCTTTCGTGCTCCATTCGTTTCCCTCCCCCTTCCACCCGTCCTCTCTTCCCTTATTTTAGGGTCTGCACTACATGCACGTGGCAGGTAAGGAAGATATACCCCCAAGGGGACACGATCGAAGACGACGAGGGCGGGTACCGAGGGTTTTGGATATACGTATTGATTAGCACGTGAGCAGATAGGAGCGAACAGTCTAAAACTGATTGTTGTTGTGGTTGTTGTTTTTGTAGTTGTTGTAGCTGTTTTGGTGTAGTTGTGTTGCCCTCTGTCTCTCCCTCTCTCCTGCTGCTCCTCCTCCTCCTCCTCCTCCTCTTGTTCATCTGCTTCTGCACCTCCGTCCATCCCAAGCTACATCCAAGACCTTCTCTCCGGCTGCTCCCATGTTCGATATGTCAAGAACCCCACTGAGACCCCCCCAGTAGTTCATAAAAGAGGGATACACAGACGAAGGGCAACAGCCACGAGGAGACCGCACACACACGCACACACACATCGAGCACCTCTAGAAGCACCGGGCGCCCAGTGAAGCCCTCTTCCCCTACTCTTTCCTCCTCTCCCCGATTCTCCCACTCCTCCTGCTGCTGCTCGCCTGCTGCTGCTCCTCCCCCCCCCAGGCTGGGGCCCCGCGGCTCCTCGCCCCCGCAGGAGGCGTACGCCCGGAACCACGCGGCCCGCATGATCCAGCGGAGGGGGGGGGGGAGAGGGCGGGTGGGCGGGCCTGGGGGGGCCCCAGGACGCCTCCCTCGCCCGGACATCGCTCGGACGTGTGTGTGTGTGTGTGTGTGTGTGCGTGTGTGTGTGTGCGTGTGTGTGTGTGTGTGTGTGTGTGTTTTTCCTCGGCGAGGGCCATCGGGGAGCAGAGTGGAGCAGCGCGCGGCCAACTCAGCGCACGAAGTCGGCCACCGCATGGGAAGTGGACGGCCGAGCGCTGGCGAGCCACCCGGGACAAGCACAAAACGTGGACGAGGGCGCGCGGAGCTGCGACGGGTCCCCGCCCGCTGCCGTGCGGCGTCGGCGTGGCCCGTCGGTCAACTCGGGCGGCACCGGCCTCTTGCTCGGGAGGGGGCGGCTTCCCCGAGTCCGGGGGCCTGGCACCCTCGCGCGAGATCCGCGATCCCTGCGAGCGCGCGCCCGGGCAAGGCAGCCGGGTCCGAGGATCGGGGGCGGCAAAGAGGGAGGTGATGACTATAGGGGGGGGTGGATATCATGGCGGGGGCCATGATATCTCCCCAGATTTCATGGCGGGGGCCATGATATCATGGCGGGGGCGTCGTAAAAAAGTCACGACGGGAGGTTTTGGGCCGTTTTCGGCTCCTGGGAGCCCTCGCTGGACCTCGGGACCGTCCAGGAACGGCTCAGGATGCAAAGCTGGTCCCGGAGAAAGAGTCGGGATTTCTAGGGACCCCGTATTGATCGGGGCCGCAAAGAGGGGGGTGATGACTGGGGTGGGGGGATATCATGGCGTGGGCCACGATATCTCCCCAGATTTCATGGCGCCTCTTCTTGTTTCATTACGTCCCTGGCCCCCCCGCTGGGCCGCGCACATGCCGCCGGTCATGATTCGCACCCCCCCCTCTTGGACACCCCCCTCTTGGCCGCTCCCGAGAGGAGTGAGGCGGGCGTTCTTGGGCCCTCGTGCGGGCCTCCGCGGGACCCTCCCGGGGGTCCTCCGGGCACCTCCGGCTCGGCATCGCTTGGACGTGCGCAGTTGTTCTCGGCAGTGGCCATCGAGGAGCAGTGTGGGTCCTCGTGCGAAGACATACGCGCACGAAGCCGAAGAGTGCACGGGGAATGGGCGTCCGAGCGATGGCGCGCCGGAGGTCTCACCACTTCCGCCGCTCGGGAGCCTTGAGACGGAGGTCAATGCAAACGAGGGTCAGCCAGGACACCGGATCCTGCAGGATCCTGCGAAGACCCCCTCTGGCTGACCCAGGTTAGCGAGCCGCTCGTGGCCGCGAGGCGGCCGCGCATATTGGCTGACCCGGGTTTGCGAAGGCCTGCGTTGCAGTTTGTTTTCCTGCATTGCAGTTTTTTGGTTTCCTGCTGACCCGGGTCAGGATTGACCCGGGTCCGAAGATCCCCGAGCCGCGAGGCAACCCGAGACGGCCAACTTTTTCTCGAGCGCATCCAGTGAGATCGGGGCGCTGCTGCGGGACCTGGGGTCGTCGGCCAGGATAGATAGTCCGGGGCGACTGGCGGGCCGAGCGAAAGGGGGGGATGGGGAAAGGGGGGGTTACGGAATCTGCTGCATGCAGCCGGTTTCGGCCCCGCCGCCGGGCCGATCCTTCGCGCCTCCCGGCGCCGGGAGGCGCTGGGAAAGTCGGCTACGTTGCGTTCCCCCCGAGAATGGTCGGCTCCCAGGGACTGGCTCGAGAGCTCGGGGGGGCCCGCGTCGTGAGAAAGCATGGCGCCAGCGTCGAGGCAGCGCAGACATGGACTGTCGGTGTCGTTTAATCGATCCCCATCCCCGTGCCCATCCCCTTCGAGAGCGTCCTGGAGGCGTCCCACTCTGCCCGGGACAGTGCGGATTAACGGACCCATCGCCGATCTCTCGGCGATGTGTATCGGCGATTCCATGTCGACGTTCACCCCCCCTGACTCGGTGCCGCCGCCTAACGTGTCCCTTCGATCGGGGGCTCCGGAAAGGGGCTCGCTGTTCCTCAGGTTTTTCCCCAGAACCCTGCGAGGTCGCTCCTCGTTCCGCTCCTCGTGCGCTGGTCTCGTTCCGTGTGTAGCGCCTCTTATGGTAGTAGCTGCACGGTCAGTTTTCGGAGGTTCGTGCGGACTTCTTGGATTGGCGTTGGGCCCCCCGCAGAACGCGCCAGTGGCGGCGCCAGAGGCGTCGCCGGGGGCGCCGATCCAAGAAGTCCGCGCAGACCTCCGATTGTCTATGTTTACGGAGTTTCTTCCTCTTTGTCCTGGCCGAGCCTGAGAGGGGGTCTTGCCTACTCGCGGCAGGGACCCTCCACCCCCTCCTTCCCCTCCTTCCCCTCCCCCTCCCCTCCTTTCACATCTGCCTGACCCTCGTGTCGCATTTCCCTCCTGCTGGGAGCTGGCAGAACCGCAACTGTTGGTGGTATGCCATCAGTGCCATCGGCAAACTCCATCACGAGATGGCCTTAGATGGCATTGTACCCTTTTGCGCTGTCGCGCATGTTCGCTACCGTGCTGGTTGTGCGGGGGCTAGGGGGGAGGTTCATCTCTGCCTCGGAGATCGAGGTTTTTGAGCCTGTGGGCCCTATGAGGGCGTCCGGAAGCTTCCAGGGGGCCTCCAGGAACTTCATGGTGACGCACACGACCTCCCCCCCACTGAAACTCATTCTGTGCAGTTTTTTCCGTCGGGATGCTTGTGAGCTGACGCGTATCTTAGCCCTGATGCTGGGGGCCTGCGGGGCTCATTGCCAACATCGTTGAAATACACGCTGGATGGTTATACTGCTGCCCGCGGCAACATCCGCTGCCGTGCCAGCGCAGCAGCGTGGCTGGATGAGGTTGAGTTTGAGACCTGATCCAGTTCAGCACCTTGTCTGAACTCGCGCGTTTCGTGAGCACCTTTCTCGTGCTCCTCTTTCGTCTTTTTCCTCCTTTCCCCCTCCTTCCTCCCCCCTCAACATGGACTGTCATGCCGCCGTCCTCCACCACCACATCCCGCTTGAAGGCATCTTGGATGACTCCTGATGGCCTTCAGAGGTCATGTCGGGGGCCGGTTGGGGGCTATTTTGTCGGCTCGGACCCGTCTCGGGCGTAACGGTTCTACCGAGAGCTCCCGAAGAGGTTCGGTGGAGCCATATTGAAACGAGCGGATGTGTCTGGGAGCCGTCGTGAAACCTTCTTTGGTCGCCTTCGGCGGGTTCCCGGGAAGTCCTAGCGCCGCCCCAGGGCACCGTTTTTGAGTTGCTACGAAAGCAGCGGGTGTACAAACTGATGGGCACATCTCCCACCACCACTACCATAGGTAGGACGGGGGAGAAGGGAGAATGGGGAGGCCCTTCTTCTCCTCCTCCTCCTCATCATCCTCCTCCTCCCTCTCCTCTTATGGTAGTGGTGGTGGTGGAGAATCGGCCCATCAACAACACAGGTCTTCTCGCCGTAGTCATCTTGGCTCAGGCCATCCTGGCTCAGTGCGGGGGTTCGCGAGGCCGATCCTCTTCGGGCCCTTGGCCGACCGCGCCTGGCAGAAGCTCTGCTGGTGCCGCGCGGGGCAGTGGCGCATGTGGGCGTCTGGCGTGGCCAGAGGGCGGGGTCTCCCGTGACCCAGCGGAGACAGCAGGCCAGCCACAACTGGGGGAGCTGTGGTCCTTACCCCCCCGGGGGACCCATCGATCTCGACACCCCTCTCGAGAGCTCGTCGAGGCGATGGGTTCCCCCAGGGGGGTAAGGACCACAGCTCCCCCAGTTCTTTTCTGGTCGGGACAGGGTCGAACCACAAGCAACTGCACACACATGAATGCTCGGAGGTCCGCGCAGATCTCCTGGATCGGCGCTGCAGGCCCCTGGCTCGCCTCAGGGGGCCGCCCCTGCGCGCTCCGCACGCCAGGGAGGGTGCTCGAGCGCGGATCCTGGAAATCCGTGCGGACCTCCGGAAGTGTATGTTTATGCAGTTTGCTCTTCCTCCATTCTAGGCCTCCTGGATGGGGTCGGAGTAGATGGGGTCGGAGGATCGCGCCGCATCGCCGATGCGGCTCGATGTGCAGCCCGCATTGCTTCACGTCGACGTCGCCGATGCATCGCCGACGACGATGCATCGCAGATGCATCGGCGATGCGGCGCGATCCTCCGACCTCATCTGCTCGGACCCCATCCAGGAGGCCCTTATCCATTCGGCGGGGGATGCGGCTCTCTTCCGGCTGCTCGGCATCCGGTATCCTCTTCGGCACGGGCTCCGGCATGCAGTGGCGCTGCCGCGCGGATCCGCCGTCGCGCTCCCTGGTGCGCGCCTACGGGGATGGGCGCACGTCCCACGGATTTCGCCACCTCGATTAAGTCGGGCCTGTTCCTCTACAGGGGGAATGCTCAAAAATAGTCGACAAGTATGATGGGGACCATTTTTTAATATGTTTTACCACTTTGGAATGTTGGTTTACTTGTTTTATTTTTTGGCCACAATCCCTCCGTAGGGGAACATGCCCGACTTAGATACACTGATGTTCTGGACCATTCAAGGCTAGCTCGTTGAGGAAACATGTTGCCCTCGGTTGCAAAACTGTTAGCCCTCAAAGTTTGCCTCCACAACACATGTTGGCTTCAGTTGCGACCATGCTTGCCGTCATTTGCTGTTTGCTGTGCCTTTGAGTGCAAATTGTTTGCTTTCAAACAGTTCTGCCTGCAGAAAGTGTTGCCTGAAATGGGTTGGCGAGAAGCAAGAGAGCGATGCAGTCAGAAGAACCGCATGTCGGGCTTGATGCGTCGGGGAGGGGGGTCACCTTATTCTGTTACGCACGAGACCAGGCTCTGGAGTTCATTTATTTCTCGAGGTGCCAGCGTCAAGTTCCGCCATCGTGCCAGCCCAGCATTCTGGGCGGCGACTGTTCGAGGGGGCGCAAGAGGTCGTCGCGTGCGACACGTCGTGTCTCCAGGCTTTGGAGAACCGCGATGATCATGGTGAGAAGTACGATAATGATGGGTGTGATGACGATGATGCTGCTGTTGCTGATGCTGATGATGATGATGTTGGCGCTGGTGC